AGTGCAGCATAGACAAGACTCGTCTGATTTGCCCTTGTTTTCGGATCCCTTTTATATGTGATATTGTATGTGTGTGTGTAAAATCCCAAGTGTGTGTGTGTAAATGAAATAAGATAATAAAATATGATAAATGTGATGAGTCGTTATTGATTCGGTGTGTGCGCTCTAAAATATGATAATTCTCTATTGATTCTGCATGCGTGTACTATCTCTTGACTGGCCCATACTTATTACAAGATTCAGGATGTGGTCAACCATCCACGTATATGTGACTCCGATATTCATATTCTTATTTAAACAGATAACCATGTGAACAATTTAACTTATTCACACGCCCAGTTTCGATGTTCATGAGAACCTCTTATAATGTGTGTTTTATATTATGAGACTACGCAGTACGCGACAAAAGTTATAGGATTCTTTTGAATATTTATTGAACCGAAATCGATTCCACAACATTTCGAACCGATAACACAATATTTATTGGACTGATAAAACTTATTGGTCCTTTGTGCAACGGGCCAAATTTTTATCGATTCGATAACCTAGTTATTGGTCCTTTGTGCAACCGGGCCTAAGTGCTATAAAATCCCAACCCTGGTGATAACCTTATCTGATGGCTTATCTTAGTCGTAATGGAGGGAAAATTGATTTCAATATTTTTTTTGTTCTCCGAGTTTTACTTTTACGTCATTCCTCCGCCGCGTAACGGATACGATTGTTACGCTAAGAGGATTGTTTTTCGCGCACAGTATATGGACTCCAAGCTCTGTGGAACACGCTTGTATACGCTTGGCGCAATCCGTCCAGTTGAGCTGTAATCCTAAATTGCACGTACGAGCTGTGTTTTCTCAGTGGTGTTCGATCCATTCGGAACACGTCGAAGGAGAATCGGTCAACTGGTATGGAATTCGTTGCGAGAAGTTTTTTGAGATGCCACTCGAGGACCGACAACGATTCGGCAGATGTCTCCACACAGGTTGTTAAATATGATTTCTTTTTGAGTACACTCCATAACGTTCTCGCGTTGATTGCAGGTGTGGCAAGCAGTATTTGAACCGTCTAAAACATCTAATTTGGTGGCTACATGTGGCGGAAATAAGGTTTGCATCATTGATGTGAAGACCGCAACCGTTCAGTATAGATATACTTGGCCAAAGTAATGTTTGCTTGGTTTTTCTTCACTGTGTGTATTTTGTATTGTGTAAATCATTGTGTATTAAGAACAGACTGAAAAACGTTCTACTATGCGGTATAACAATTTATTCCGACATAAATAAGTCCATTATATTTTGAGTCTGTTAATTATTAACATTATGTTATATAATGTACCAAACAAATTATAAGATAAATACTGAACTTAAGTAATCTTCTGCACTTTCTAAAAAGGAACAGATCTGAAACTGTTAATTCACAAGCTTCAAATGTGCAAATTATATGGAAGTTTATTAATACATTATTAAACTTATTAAAATTTGCTTTGTAATATTTGTCAATAATAAATATGGAAACTCATGAGGCAGGTCTTAAAATGTAGTATATTTAATTATACTTAATATTTTATGTTGTACAGAGGAATTTTTTACACAATATCATGGAGTACAGCTTGTCCAGAAAATAATATATTAGCTACTGCTGGAACAAACAATACGATCGTGTTTATAGACCTATCAACTAAATCAGCATATTTTCATTACAAAGATTTTGATTATAAAAATTGTAAAATTTTTATAAGCTCGATTTTATTTCATCCTTTTGAAAAAAAACTATTTTGTTAGTATTTCTTATTTATGTATTAACTAGTATTTTTGTTTATTAAATTACTGTCTCTTTCTAATATCAGGTGCCCAAAACGATGGACATTTATACATATTTAAATTTGAAATCAATGAAAGACGTATCATAAACCTGAATAAAGAATATGTTGTGGATTTTAAATGTGAAATATTTGGATTGGCAATTTGCACAACTTATGATTGCTTACTCATTGCTACCAATGCCGGATTAATGGGATGGAATAACTCTCAGAGGTACTCTCAATCTAAATCTATTTAAACTATCAGATAGTTATTAATGTAATATGTATCCCAGATTTCATATAAGTGTAGTTGATTTACATGTATTAGTCTCATAATAATTAAAGATTTGTGACCAAGAACTGGACTGAGTTTATACATCTGCTGGTCACTTTTCCAATTTATTTCTAACATTTTCAATATAATTTAAAAAATTTAGAAATTATACTAAATTTTATTCAGTAAGTGTTTTTTTTTTATCTACAGTAATCTTTTGTATGTATGGTTTTTGTTTAAAGAAAATGGATGATAGAATCACTTTATTTATGTTATGAAATTAGTAATTTTAGCAGATACATTGGTGCCACTTCAGTATACGCTCTACAGACTAGTTTTTGTTTTGGTATGCATTCCACCATACTTCGTTTTAACTTTACTTAATTTTATTGTTGGTACACCTGAATGTCTTCCAACAAGGTAAGAAAAAGATCAGGACCATCTCGACTTACTGTCAATTAGCTAGCAACAGTAATCAAGATGAGATTGCAAATAATGAAGAGAAACTCCCTTCGTTTTCTACAATAATTTAATTTTCATGTCTAACTATGACCTCTAAATACTTTGAATGTGGGCTCCTGTATTTTCATCTATCTATGAGATTTGATGATTTACAGTTTTAAGAAAAAAACCTTGGCTTGTGAGACATATATATGCGGCCTATTCATCAGAATGCATTTCTGATCCTGCCTTGCACTCACAACCATAAGAAATACAGTCATTGTCTAATATAGAACGGGTGTAGAACTGACGTAGAACAGGAAAAACCGGTAGAGAGCATACCGAAGTGGCACTGATACATCTTAGTTTTAGTTTCTGAATGAAACAGAGAATGTATTAGTTTAACCATGTGTTTTTATTTATTTATTTTTTTTTTTTTTGAGATTATACACAATTTCAATTAGAAAGATTGCTTCAATCATCACCAAATAAGAAGTAAATTATAGGGAAATAGATTCATTTTCAACTGGGGATTTTAATTTAAAACCTCATAATAATAATCACCTTTTATTTTGTCACATACTATATATTTTTTTATCTCTGTGTAAATGATTTCGACTAGAAAAATTGCTCTGATCATTACAATCATAAGTTATTTCTGATGGGAAATTATGTTTGAGTGGTATGTTGAGGAGGGTAATTTTATGAATTTTTCAATAGTTTTTTTAATAATTGCCATAAACTGATGGAAAGTAATAGAAAACAAAAAATCTACAGCATATGAGTTTTTAATGAAATTGAATTTTAATTTTCATAATTATTAAAAAAATAATAATAAGACACCTAAAATTTTCACTGAAAGCTAATATCATTGTGCTCTATTATTTTAGAATTTTCTAAATATTTTTAAGGTATTAATAGATAATTGAAAATTTCATATTTCTTAGCTTTTTTTTTTTTTTTGAAAATTTAATACAAATTTCTTTATGTATACCTGTTATTGGTTAATTAAAAAAATGTTGCGACTGTTTAAATATTACAATTTGATAAAACATTAAAAATCACAATACTCAAATACATTCTTGAAGTTAAAAATACATAAAATTTAAAATTTTTGTCTATATATACAAGATTTTCTTTAAAATAAATTTACTGGAAAGTTGCAAAAAAATCTGATATTAATATAATATAACAAATTTCTATTAAATTATATAAGTTATTTAGTTTTTTCTTATAAATATTAGTTGTAGCAAATTGAAAAATATATTAAGCATTTATATTATAGTCTATTCCAAATAAGATTGGAAAAATGCAGAGCCGTGCCGTGGGGGGGGGGGCCAAGGGGGCCCTTGCCCCGGGCGCAAATTTTAAGTGGGCACAAAAAAATTAATCAAAATTAGTAAATTATTTTATAATGCTGTTGTGGACCACATTATACATAATAAATGGCAGGTATATATTTGACACGCGCCGTCAGCGATAAAACGCCGATAGTGTTGTCGCTGTTTTCTTGAAAAGCGTTATCGATGATATACGTACTCCAGTCTTATTTTATTTTTGCTTTCATCGTCTTATTAGGTACTTATTAGTTATTATAGTACTATATTGTATGTAGCAATGTAGCTATTACAAAATTTATCTTGATTCCGCCAACCGGTGCCCACGATAAATCGTTAACTAATACCCACAAGTTACAGCTGTACAAAAAAATATTAGTAGCTGTAGTTTGGTGGTTTGGTGAGTTATATTGCCGCGATTTATTGAAATATTTCAATTCGTTTAGTCGTTTAACGTTTTTGTAGAGACCAATAATTTAAAACGAGCGTTCTGTACTTTAGATCTCAATTAATAAGGTAAGAGTCGTATATTATACATTATTATCAATCTAATTAAGTCGGTACATAACATAATAGATTTATTTAGAATTAATACGTATGTATACTCAGATTCCATTTTGCACATTTTTACTATAATATTTTAATTTATTGTAGAATGGGCCCCAGAAAACTATCAGGTGCACAAAATAGAAAAAAACTAAAATGTAAACAATTAGAGAATAAAATGTTAGCAAATCAATGGGGAAAATGGTTAAAAAAATCAAATCAACAAAATACTTCAACAAATTCGGCTAGTCATGTTAATGAAACTAATACTAATACTAATGAGGTAGTGGACGAAATTGAGTGTAATGAATCTAGAGAAAATCCCGAGAAATTAATACCTGAAATTGAAATGTTAAAAGAAATTTCTATTCCTGAACCTAAAATGTATAATGTAGAGATTGAAAAAAACACCGAAACTGAATCACATGTTAATGAATCCGAACACAATATATTTATAATTGATTTTAACGATCCATCTTCTTGGCCACCAATTACTGATAAAATTCGTTCATTATTAATTAATCATGGTCCGGAACAAGGTAAAAACTCAAACTTCTATTTTTCTGAAAATGATACTGATAAAAGGCGTTTTACTGCCAATTGGTTTACTAAAATTATTTCAAATGGTGAAAAAGTAGAACATTCTTTGCTTATTTACAGCAATAAAACCAAATCTGTTTACTGTTTCCCATGTATGCTCTTTGCAAATAAAACCATGACATCATCAGCTATTACAATCCGAAACATGGATTTAATAATTGGAAAAAGTTAAATCCGAAAATAACTGACCATGAAAATAGTAATGAACACCGTATGAATATGTTTAAATGGAAAAATGTAAATAAAAATAATACAATTGACTGAGCATTGAAATTGAAATAAAAAGTGAAAAAGATTAATGGAAACATATTTTAAATGTTGTAATTGACTGTGTAAGATTTTGTAGCGTAAACAATTTTGCTTTGAGAGGATCTAATAATGAAATTGGAAAGCCTGGATGTGGAATATTTTTAAATTTAATTAGCCTTATTAGCAATTATGATTCTGTTCTATCGAGTCATTTAAAATATCATGGTCAAACTACATATTTATCAAATAAAATACAAAATGAATTTATAAATTTACTAGGTTCAAAAGTAAGAAAAGAAATCATTTGTATAATAAAAAAAGCGAAATATTTTTCTATAATTTTTGATTCTATTCCGGACATATCTCATAATGATCAACTCTGTCAAATAATTAGATATGTTACTGAAGTTAATAATGAAATAGTAATTGAAGAAAGCTTTATTGATTTTATTAAAACAAATGAAAAGACTGGACTTGGAATAGCTACTGATATACTTCAAAAGCTGGAAGTTGATGGACTTAATTTTAAAAATTGCTGCGGACAAGGGTATGACAATGGAGCAAACATGGCAGGCAAGTACCAAGGTGTACAAGCTCGATTGCAAGAAATTAATGAACGTGCCCAATTTGTCCCCTTGTGCGGCCTACAGCCTTAATTTAATTGGCGTACATGCTGCTAGTGTATCGGTAAAAATTATTTCATTTTTCGGTGTCGTACAAAGTATTTTTAACTATTTTTCCGGTTCAACAAGTCGATGGGAAATATTAATGAGGTGTTTGAAAATTACTTTAAAAAACGTATAGTGACACACGCTGGTCATCCAAATACAATGCAGTTCATTCGTTATATTGTCAGTTTGGTGAACTAGTGAAGGCCTTATGTGAAATATCTACTAATCCAACTTTTGGTGACGGAATAGCTAGTGCAGAAAGTATTTTAAAACAACTTGATTTGAAATTTGTTTATTTTTTAATTATGCGGGATAAAATATTAAATCAAATTTCTCGTGTGAATAAAGTTTTACAAAGCTCAACTATTACCATTGGTCAGGCCTCAAAAATGTTTATTTCATTAAATACTTTTCTTCAAGAAATGCGTGACAGTGGAACTGAAGAAATTAAAACCGAAACGATAAGCATTTGTGAAAAATTTGGTATAAAATCAGAATTCAAAATAAAACGAAAAATAAAAATGAAAATCACAAGTGGAGGGAGGTCAACAAGTGAAGGTTTTTCTGCCGATCAATTATTAACATTAGAATATTACAAAGTTCTTGATAATATGATAGCTGAAATTCAATGGCGTTTTGAAAAATTATCCATTATTTCTAATGATTTTGAATTTCTTTCCGGCCATTCACTATTTGAAACGCCTGTTGAAATGATGAAAAAATGTGCAGCTGACTTGGCAATAAAATACGATGAAGATATAGGTCCAGAAATCATTAACGAAATAGAATTTTTTAAATATCAAGCAAAAGTAATACTACCAGATGTGCAAAATGCTACTTTTTTAAATATTTTAAATGCAATAAAATCATGTGAACTTGACTCAACATGTCCAAACTTGGTGATTGCATACAGATTGTACCTTACCATGCCTGTTACTGTGGCAACTGGAGAACGTTCCTTCAGTAAGTTAAAATTAATCAAGACATACTTACGATCGACCATGTCCCAAGAAAGACTAACTAACTCGGCAATATTATCAATAGAAAATAAAACAACACAAAAAATCGACTTTGAAGATGTTATTGAAGATTTTGCTTCAATCAAGTCCAGAAAGATTAAATTTTAAATAATACAATAACAATAATAAACTTAAATAATTTTAAATAAATACTTGATTATTAATACTAATACTGAGTTGCATTATTTTTAATTTTTTTTCTAATAATAATCACATAATTTATTACTGTATAAAAATTATTTCATAATTGATTAAATAATTGGGAAGGGGGCGAATATTTGTCATTTTGCTCCTGGGCGCCATCTCTTATCGGCACGGCTCTGGAAAAATGTACTAAGAAAACGCGTCGGGTTTCGCGCAGGTATGTCACTTTATCTGCCGGTGGCGAGCGCTGACGATTCGGTTGTATACAGCCTGACTATATTTTCTATCATCACCACTTTGCTTGCTTACGATCTGTTGACAACGTACTTTGCGTATACACTAATTTAACACTATATACACGGCGGCAAGCTCTAGCCGCTGACCGATCACAAAGTATGCCGAATCCGTAGCCAGTCACTGTGGACCTGCATGCGCGATTTTTCCAGACTTATTTGGAATAGACTATAGCATTTTAAAGACATTTAATAGCCTCCAAATATTTTATGAAATTTGTGTTGTTTATAGGCATTTAAAATCTTCCTAAATTTTAGATTTTTTTTTTTTTCATTGAAAAAGTTAAAAAATGTTACTCAAAATTGTTTTATTGGTCATTATGATAAATTTGCTTGAAATTTCAAAAATTCAAAGACAGCAATATCATTTGCTCATCACTGTATTATCACTCATCGCCCAATCTAAGATTTTTTTTTTTTATGTTTTTAAACTTATTACCCCCAACATAATCAATTTATTCAATAAAATATTAAAATATCTGATGCCTATGCCGTATAAACTAAGAAAACAATCGGAAGATTTTTTTTTATTTTGAAAATTGTAAGATAAAAAATAAAAACTAACCTCTTTTAATAGTTGTATTTTCTCTGTAAATCTTTATTAGAATGCTTTTTAATACCAATTTTTATTACTTTAAAATATATATATATATATATATACAGAAATCTTATAGTTTATCAACACTGAAACCATTATTAGAATGCATTGATTTATCAATTGTTATTAAAGATGTGTATAAATTGTATGTTTAGTCAGAATCAAGAACTCATTGTTTTTGAATTTCCTGAAAATCCCAATGATTTGTACAAGGGACAAAATGAAAAGGTGATAGATTCAATTGAAACTATTAAAAACGGTTGGATAGCTACCAAAGTAGCTTTGCACGGAGTTATATATATTTTCAATCTACAAACACCACTGTCCCAAATCAAAAACAACCATTGTGTAGTAAAACCAGCATATATTTTAAAATGGAGTGATACGGATAACTATTTTATGGGCTGCGGTATTGGTCTCGGTAAGTATTTATAGTTATAAACATTTTGATCTGTTTAATTAATATTTTACTTTTACTTTTTTAGATGGAAAACTCTTGGCATGTGGAGACGATAAAGGTAGAATTTGGATTTACAATCTAAAACAAATTGACTTTAAAAATGTAAAAGATGACCATACTAAGACCATTGATGCATATACTGTATTAAAATGGCCTAAACTTCAAGACTGTTATTTAAAAAAGAGAAAAAAATTGGAAGTAGATGTTTATGACATTGTAATGGCCAAATGTGCAGTACACTCTAGTGGCAAATATCTTGTAGCTGTAACTAATAACAATTTTGTTTGCTTATATTCGCTGTCTAAACTTACCTGAAATACAATGTTGTTTAAGATACAATTTTAATTGAAGTATTGTATTCATAAATTATAATAAATAAAATATAAACATTTTAAAATGCAAGTAATTATTAAATATACTTAAATATATATATATATATATATATGTATATTTAATCAGCCGCAGAAAAAATAAATTTGTTTTTTTTTATTTACAATACTAAATACATAATACTTAAGAACTAATTCAATTGAGTTTTGTCTCACATGGTGAGGTAAACTTTATGATTAATTTTAATTAAAATATTTCTATAATGTTAATATTCTGATGGTTAAAAAAAAAAAAGTAGTATTAACTAGTCATGATTATTATACTAGCCTTGACGAGAGGGGAGTCAGAGTTGCTATCTAAAACAACTAGGTCTTATATTTTACTTTATTATTAATTTTGCGTAAAAATTATTTTTAATTTAAATGTATAATATTACTTTAAAAATATTAAAAACTACAACTAACGTAGAAGTGAATAATTTAGAGTGCTTGGTAAATTATTTGATTCATTTAAGAAACAACTAGAAAACATTTTTGAACAAGCAATCTTTCCAGAAAAACTTACTATTAAAAAGAAACTAGCTGATGGGTTAATTCAAAGTAGATAACTGCAAATGAGAAATGTTGTTTTAGTAGGTGTTTTTTTTTTTACTTGATTGTGATAGTAAATATTACAGTACGGTGGTATACCACTGCTTCAAATATAGATTAATTTATAAATTTTCTATAAAAATATACAACTCTTTCAACACAAAAATAAATTAAAGATCAAAATAATCTACCTGCCTTCATAGCAATCACATTTCTGAAAATCTGGTGGAAGAAATGAATCACTTGGAATCGATTCAGTCTGGTAACTTCAATAATTGTTTTTCTCCTCTCAACCACACACTAGAAAAACAAAAGCATAAAAGCATTTATCCATATATATGTATTGCTCTTTGATTATTTTGCACATTGCCAGTGATTGTTAGCATAAAAGGTAATTTAGTACATTATAAAGCAAGAATGAAAAATTTTCTCTGATCAAACATGGCTCAAGAACGACTATCAAGTATGGGTAAACTTGTTTTTTTAACAACTATTTAATTAATAATAATAACTATATTTTTATTGGATAAGGCTTAGTTTAGCATATTTTATTTTATTAACGATGTACAAAATGTTGATAATTTAGAATCTAATATCTGTGATTTGGAATCAAACATCAATGACTAAAATAATTTAAATCAAATTTTGAAACTTTAAATACTGTAAAAAAAAGGATATCATTACTGGTGCACAATATCTTAATTAATATTACATTAGAAAAATTATTAAAAACTGAAAGACGTGATACTAAATGTATTACATATTTTAGTTCCAAGACAGCTTGAATTAGCCTCACTTGCCGTTAATATACTTTTAGAGGACTTGATTTCTTAAATTTAGTACTTTGGTTGATATAAAATTTAATTTCTCAATTAATATTATACATATAATCGTTTTATTTTAACGGTACTTGTTTGTTATCGCTCCATCCATATTACGCTGTTCCTACAATTATTGTGCTTAACTCGTGATATTTGATTTATTTTATTAATTATCTACGTGAGGTATGTGTATGGAAGTTAGAAAATAATTATAATACAAAAATTGGTGGCCCCGGTTTTTTTGGTGAAATAAATGAGTTTATTTGTGCGTAGAAAAAATAATACTGGACATTTTCTGCGACAGCAATGGATTTTCGATGGAATATATAGAGAAACCAACACGTGTTTTAAATTTAGTATACCTAATCGATCTGTGAAAACATTGTTACCTATAATATAAAAATATATAAAACCTGGTTTAATAATCATGTCAGATTTTTGGTAAGCTTACAATAATTAGCAGTAAGCGGGATTCGCCACACCTATAATTTTGTTGATTCGTATACAGGGGCACACAGGGCCGGACTGGCCTACTGTGCAACATCACAGTAGGCCGCGGCCGTGAAACAAATCTACCGAGTTTACAGAATAGTGAACAGATTATCTGTTTATAGAGTACCTTGGTACCTAATTACATTTTTTAAATGAGCTCAAGGTACGATTGTAGAAAATCCTATATAAATGTTATAAATTATATTATACTGAAATCTAGTTTGGATCAGCTTTTTGGCAGTAGTAAATCTAGTTTTTACCGTGCTTAATGCATATTATATATTATGAATATTGTACATGCTTATACATGTGTGTTATTATTATTAATGTTATTACAGACGATAAAATAAATAAATTAAAAACTAAGCCCGTGACGGACCGTATGACTATATTACTATTCATAAGCGTGCACACGGGGTAGTCAGGGTAGGTACTTGACTATTCTGTGAAACTTCCCACCCTCACCAAAATATTCAATATGATCACAATAATAAATAAACATATTATTTTCAACCACTTCGAAACATTAGTTAACGTTAAAAAAATGTAAGAATACTGGAGAAATATAGTTATTAAGTTAAATGAAGTTACGAATGCAAATTTTTTGTTAATATTAAATGATAATGTGTTATGTTTGACTACCCTGCCAGTTATGTCTGCACACGCTTATGTTACTATTATATCCTGTTGTATTGTTCAATCGTGGTAATCGTTTTTGGCTCTTGCTTATCAAAATAATACTTCGTCTGAGTTTTTCTTATGGCGGGCGCGAGAATAAATTAAATTGTATGTTTTTTTATTAAAAAAAATATTTTTAATTATTAATTCGAAATAAAATACGTTAATTCACAAAAAATAATATTGTATTATTATTAAACTCCATTATTGCAATAATACACATGCTTATTATTTTAAAGCGTATACTTTATAGTACAAAGTAAATTTATTTTGTATAGTATCATGGGACATAGATTATGGATAACATCACATAACTAATCATGATTGTTGAATATAAAGGTTATAAAAAACTGTCCCCCTCTAACCTCTTTAAATCTTATCAATTTTGTAGGACAAAACACATTTAAAAATTCCCGAAATAACACATTGTGGGCCACTAGTTTACCTAATGGTAGGCCGGTACCCTCCCAGTCCAGGCCTGGGGGCACATATCCAAAATATTGCGAGGTTACGGGAATCTGCAAAGTGGGGATCATTTTGGTAGAATTTATGTAGAAAACACGTCTCGGGGAACAAAATGCATTTGAAGGCTATCATAGAAGTTATTTCTGAGTTCTAACCTCCTTTGTAATTTAACATAAATAAATGTTAAATATTGAAATATTTTTTAAATTTATTATATTATTTTATTTATGGCTGGGCGAAAACAATCATCTTTTTATCAAATATTTGGAAGTCTTCTAGTTTGAGCTTTTAACCTGGTTTTTCCAAATTTTCTTGATCTTATAAGCCACGAAGAAATATTTTTCTTCCAACTGTTGGTTAGTAATTTTATAAAATGTTCAAAATGTTACTCTCCGTAAAAAGTTGAAATAACCAATTTATTTGTATTGGTGATAAGATTCAATTAAATGTATCATTGTTAATGACTGTTGGATACAATTACTCTTCAGAGCACAATACTTTGTTCAATATCAAAAACTAGTAAATAGTAGATGTAGCATCTTCTAAATAATGAAATAGAATGGTACAAATAATAATTCTATAGCAATGTTAAGTCTTAGTCAATAATTTAATCTAAATTAACAATCCTCAATATTATATGAACTTTAAATCTTGAAAAAATTTTTTATTTTCTAACAAAAATGTATTCAAACTACTCTAATGACGAATTTCAAACAGCCTTAGTCAATAACAATTTCATATTTGTTGTCAATATCAACAAAGCGTATAACTTTTAAAAATATTATGTAATTGCAGTTGAAATACTATTACAATATAGGATAAAGTTGTTAAAATTGTTGTAAAAAATTTTATTTAGAACTTAAGACTAAAAAAACTGGTATTTATTCACTGGTTTATAATACAAAATACATTTAGGAATGAGTCATATGCTAAATAGTTAAGGATAGAAACGATGACAGAAACTAAACGATCAATTAAAATTATTAATCACAATGCTTTGATGATTTGAAAAAAACATATTTTCTTAATTAACTGAGATAATGCAGGTACTTAGTTAGTGCCGGTAGATCCAAAACCACCTTCTCCTCGCTCGGTTTCATCTAAGGTCTGAAATAAGATAGTACAGAAAATAAAAAATTATTAATGAATTGATGTAATTAATATAATACAATAATATTATCATAATACCTTGAACTCTTTCAATTCAGGGTAGACAATCTTCTCGCAGATCAGTTGAGCGACTCTGTCACCTGGATTCACTGTGAAGTCTTTGTCAGAATGATTGAAGAGCAATACACCAACATTTCCTCTATAATCTTCATCAATCACACCAGCTATAATAAAAGTATAAATAAACATTAAATCGTATGAACATATTGTACTTTGATATAGAAAATAATTCAAACACTTACCACCAACATCTATGAAGTTTTTCCAAGCAAGGCCAGAACGTGGAGCAATGCGACCATAGGTACCGTGTGGCACTTTGATTTGAATGTCAGTTTTGATCAGTTCTTTGTCGTTGGCTTTGACAATGTACGAGTAAGCACTATAAGGACAAAGACAAGATAAAATTATCCAGCCTTCTCACTTTACACAATAAATCATTTTTCATATGGATAGTTTATCAGTAAGGAGATTAGTACTTAGACAAGTAATCTGTTGAATTACAAGTGTAAATATATGGTTTTATTTAATGAGTTTCACGAAAATCCCAAGATTGAAAACTATCCAAGAACATATTACAGTGTTGTGGTGATAATAAAAATAAAAAAATAAACAAAAAACATGTTAAGGGCTTGTCGTTGGAAAAACGATGGTGCGACGAACAAGTCCGAAACACTACGACGGAGGATGATCTAACCTAATGCGAGACGACGTTGGCGGCTACAGCAGCAACGTCGGAATGCATCGAACAATTTCCAAGCAACGACGAACACGCGGAACGCTGTGATGACGGTAAAACGGACCACGTGGTCAGTAACGCTTACCTTCTCAAGTCGAAGCCTGCCGCGCGCCTGCTACCCTTGACGGGCGCGTGCGCGTGATCGGTGATCTTGGCGAAACTCAAAACGACGTCGTCGGTCTCGTCATACTTGCAGACCTTCTTCTGGGGGCTAGGCATGGCGGCGATTGACGCGAGCTGTGGATTACAATCAGCGGTGCGTGTAAACGGAACAAGTGCACGGACGTGTAGAACGAAAATGTGGCTGCGGAACAGACCGCGCCTGGTAATCGTTATTGGCGGGAAAAAATCAAGTTCTTATCACGCGAAGAAAGGAAAGATTTTACCGCCAATTTGAGAGACGCGGGCACTCCGTAAAGAGATTAAACTGCACGCGGGCAACACTGGCCGTACCGGTCGTGCACGCAGTGTGACCATCCCCTCATTCAGCCCCTACCGCACCGAGCGCGCGCACAACCCATTTTGAATTCAATCGAGGGAAATAAAAGAACGGCAATACCGTGTTATTTGAGGGCCCGATGCCAGTGGTGGCGCCAAAGATCCACCTCGAAAACCTCTGGCCCACCCGTTGGTCTGCCTAAAATGTTTGTTATAATCTAATAGTTTGAAATCGAATAGTTTTATTTTTTTTTTTCTAAGAACGTTTGTACCAATATTTTTTTTACCTTGCAAAGATTACCAAGAAAATATGATTAGATAACCCTTACCCAATGAGTACGGTTTAATAATCGTAAGTGTGTGATTGGAAAAAAAAAACAAGGCTTAGTTCAAAAAAATGATAAAAAATTGGCAGTGTATACGGTAGAGATGATAAGCCATCATTGTCTCGTCAAATGATGATAATAATGTCACTAAACGCGATATTATTAAATTTAGCGACAAATATAAATCAGAACCTGCAGCTGGTTGCATTAAAGACGACAGCGCGTTAATTATTCTCATTAGAGGTGTGTCCCGGCAAATGTCGTTAGGGGGCTGTAGATGATGCAAAAAATCGCGTAAAACAGGTCATAAGCTAGACAAAACTGTGGGACTTGGGTTTGACGGATTTTAATTTTGAAAACAAATTAAAAATCTTGAACATCTTTACTAAAACTTGTTCGAAGGAATTTTTATTATTACAAAAATTAATGGCGTACTTAAATACATAAAATACATAAATTTCTGTTTTTTTAAATTGTCAATATCTTATTATTTGATTACAATATAGAAAATTCCTTTGGTCAATCCCTAGCTAACATAGTAACTTAATTAAATCTGTTTTCAAAATTTAAATTCATCAATCCCAAGTCTCCCAGTTTTGTCTAGATTTTTGGCGTTTTTGACATTTTATTAGCATGGTGTAAATTTTCTTCGTGTTCATTGACCTGTGCATGCGCGTATGGGCGTTAGAACATTTCTAAGAATTTTAGTACCAAGCCATAACATAAATATTAAATACTACCCGCATTTCGAACGATTATCAATCAATTAGAACTAATGACTACGGAAATGAAATAATAATGTATTGTAACAATTACAATCATTGCAAAGTATAAAATAAATCATAATAAATCAATCCCAACAAAAACACTTCGTCGAACTC